TATAGTGGAGTAATGTCTACCTGAGCAGAGAATGAAGTCACCCTCCCTCTGTGTGTGGGCTCTAATCCCAGTTTCTCTGTGCCGGGCCTTTTAGTGCACGTGAGCGCGCCCCACTGGCTAGCTAAAGGCTGCCATTCTGCACTACTCTCGCCCAGCGGTTACAGATAATAAGAACGGCGTCCTGACCGACGCTGTTGTGGAAGATTTGGCGCCCGCCATCCGGTTGCCCCCCCTCCCATCAGGTAAACACTGTCAGCACTGTTGCCGTTGTTTGCGCTGTTATCGCCGTTAGCAACGTTAGCAACGTTAGCCGAGAGCCTCTGGCTCAGGCGTCGCCATGTTGAGAGCCATGTGGAGGCAATAGATTTATGAGTTTCGCATTGAGCAATCTTTAAAGGTCTAAAACATGCATTATCTAAACACATACGTAACTGGTTGCTCATGAATGTGGTAGTAGTCGAGTCATTCGGCAGCCAGTGTTTTTTTTTTGTTTGTTTTTTTCAAACTCTCACAAAAAAAAACCTAATTTGGTGCTTTCCACATTCACCTCCTCTATTTTCACAGCCCTCCATTTTCCAACCCCAGTTTCTCTCGCATCATCGCAAGCAGACAAACAAAAAAATCAATTTTGCACAATTTCCCCATTAAAAACAAAAAAAACAAATGTTGAACAGGTGTGATGTATCCGACTCTGGAAGGGAGGGGTCAGTACAGTGAAAGGACACAGCTTGCAGTGCCGTAGGTTCAAATCTGGGTCTTGACCCTCCAGTTTTGTCCGTCCAGAAGCAGCTTGGCCTCAGCTCACAGACAGAAAGCAGCACACGAAGAAAGGGCTGCACAGAGACATCATGCACCATCAATCAGAAGGGAAAAAAAAACAAGCTCTCATCTTCCTCTTCCTGTCGTCCTCAGCTGAACGGAACGTGAGCCGCCGTCGGGCTGTGAAACAGGCCTGTTGTGATGACAGATGTGGACTCACTCAATTCAATACACTTTACAGCCGTAGTTGGTCTGGTATGACCAGTAGCTTATGGTGGCTAACGTCCGCACACTTATCGATAGATATTGCTGTAGAACTGATATCGCTGAGTCAGTTCACTGACTTAAAGAGTAAGTAAATAATATAGTTACATGTGGATCAGCTAAGATGTTGTGATGATGTTTGAATTCAGTCTGAAAGAAAATTAGATTGGGCTAAAGGCCTTTACACACTGGGGGCAATTATTTTTGTCAATTCATTTGTACGAAAAAAATAATGAATAGAAAACAATAATAATGCAACTCTTTTTGAAATCCGGACAAGGAGCTTTTGCACATACAAGCATTAACCAATCACGTTCAAGCTTCACAATGTCATTCAAAAAGAAACAGCTTCTAGTCTTGTATTGCAATTTTTATTTAATTTGCTCAAACAAAAACAATATGTTAGCATGTAAGAAAGGACTAGTTAACATGAGAACAGTATGGTACAATGCAGCTGATCAAAGAATAAGTCTGGGAACCCATCCGTGTGACTCGCTTCAGCCAAACACAACACCTGCAAACTCACAATTCTTTCAGAAAACTGGGATTACGGACAAAAGAGTTTACGTCGGCAATCTGACATCAGCGTGGAGCAGAGGACAAAAAAACAACAAAAAAAACAAACGGATTTCCAAGTGAAGAAAGCTGATTGGCTGAAACGACACATAGTCTGTGCAACGTTTGAATGGCGTCGCAGAACAACTCGGACTCATCTGGACTTCAGGTTTAGAAAAAGAAATCCTCTTGGAGCGAAGAACCCTTACAGGCCTCATGTCTCAAAGGCTTGATTGTACTTCAGAGCCGTTAGAAAAGCAAACTCACGACTGTACCCAAATGAATCACTTATGTAGAAAAAAAAAAGTTTTTCGGTGGGGAACAGTACCAAGTACCTTTAAATAAACATGACGAAAAAGAAAGAAACAAAAAAAAGCTAAACTAAATAACAACTGCATGTGATCATAACGACAGACCCTAGATATTATTACTAGTCATCTTTATATGTTCGACATATTAAATGCAACTTCGGAACAAGGCACAAACCACGTAGCTTCACGAAGAAACGAGCGTTTTCTCCATCGGAACATTCCCCCCCCCCTCGCCTTGGTATCTAAAAGGACCGAGCGCAGAGTGTCGGACGTCTGTCTCGTGTCATAGATCTCTCCAAACTAAACGATAACAAAAAGGAGAATAAGTGAAATGGAAGAAAGGCGACTTTGTTGAGAGCGATTACGTTGAGCAGGAGAAGAGCCGAGTTGAATCCTTTGGTGAGAAAGGCGACATGAGGCTTTGGTGTCAGAGTGTGTCGGATTGCTCTGTTTTTTTGTTGTTGTCATAAAGTGCAAATCGATGCTGTGTAAACACTCTTGGCTAGGTGTTTTGGGTGTTTCCAAGTGGACGAGAGGATGACACGACAGTAGAAACAGACCTGACCCTGATCGACCCATGCATTTCTCCCATCACAGTATCTTTTAACACATTTGAGTCGATCCAAAGCAGAGGAGAGGAACCGTGGGGGATCCTCGGCTGCGTCTCCTGACCCTAATTTGCAAAGGGGCACTCCGCCCGTTTTCACGGGACAAACGCCTTCTGTGCTCCTGGAGAGGGAATAACCCTGATGATGTCATAGTGATGTCACCGGGGGGCCTCGGCTCGGAGACTATACACATTTTGAACAGAAATCTAGAATTGAACCACGAGTGCGAGTTTTGGCAAAGATAACTATATTTATCAGGCAGGGAGCGTTTAATGAAACGAAAAAGGTGCCATCAAGTTGAATTATGGGAATCGTAGGACTACAAGCAGGATGTTTCAGCCTTTTGTTGATTCCATTTTGACCATTGTTGTTTTTAAAATAGGCCTATGACAAGTCTCCTGACTTTGTGGATGGGCCATGATAAATCACTGGAGTGCCCCTTTAAATCAGAATTAGTGACATTAAAAGGTAACGGGGGTGACAGCACGCTGCATTGCCTCGGGAGTTCTCAATTATTCGTAGATGCTAAAACACAACTTGTTTAAGAAACCTTGGATTCTTTCGGAGAGTCCCGCCTCCAGATCGCATTACGACAGCCAGCACAGAACTGTAACGTGGATTCATTTGACCCTTTATGTGACTTCGACAGGTGATCTTGGAGGCAATCGCTACAGTATTTAGAACATCGGTCCCCCGACATTTCCCTCTCAGGTTGATTGTACTTTTTAGTGAAACAAACTCGGCACCGAACTGAAAGAGATGTTGGAAACAAAAAGCGGGTCTAGAGCAAAGTGACAGTCCCTCTTTATCCACGTAAAATCTCAGGGACAGTACAGTCAAAGGATTGATGACATTGGCAGGAGAAAAAGGCAAAGAGAGAGAAAAAAAGAAAGATGAAACACACGTGGTCAGTAAGCACTAGAAATATTAAAATGGCACAATCACGTCCTCAAGTGGACACCATCATTTACACATTTAGCTTGTCCCGTTCACCTTTCAATAACTTTATAAATGCAGTAAAATAATAATAATGAAAGGATTAAAAAAATCTGTTCAGCTCCAATGTGGCTAAAGACATAGTATCCTTGGATTCTTATAGAAAACAAAAAAGCAGAGTACTGTGATCTAGAAACGGTGTTATCCCATGAAATCCTGTGTTACAGCGTCGCTCTGATATTCTAGTCATGTCTGCCCACAGAGTCACAGAATATCTGCAATAGAGTTGACAAGAGGCGGCGTGGCGGTAACATCGTCTGACGAGGGGCTCCGGAGGGCCAAAAAATAAAAAAGGGGACAGGCAAGACATCGGAAAAAATGTTCGGCTGCGTCGGGACCGGGGGCGGGGTGGGCCTTTAAAAAAGAGATGCTACACTTATTGCTTGTAAGAAAACTTGCGCGATTTCGTGGCAGACTCGTGACCCGTCGCCCACATGGAGGAAAAAAGGACCAATACGTTACATGCAGACAGAGCACCCGGATGTGACGAACCAATCAAAAAAACGCACGGGAAGGAAAAGTCCGTTCTGTCCGCGGACCATCCAGTGCGACGGGCGTTAGCCAATCAGCGCTTCGCGGGAGGAGTTTGGTGGAGAGCTACAGAGAGGCGGCGGCCCTCCGCGTCCACGGTACGGACGAAGAGACGATGTCGACGGAGAGCTCGTTCCAGGACGGGGGTTACGCTTGCGGTTATGATTCCGAAGAGACGGACAAGAGAGCGTCCCGTTTCAAAAGGTTGGGCTATAGAGCTACTTGATATGGCCGAAGATCTACACTGAAACAGACATGGTTGATAGATGCTTTTTTTTTTTTCTTCTTCTTTTTTCTTCTAAATAACTTTTTTTTCTCTTCTTTTGTACATATTCAGGTTAAAATAGTATTTGAGGAAGACGAGCTTTACAGTGTCCTGCAGTGGTGGACTTCACCAGAGACTCTCGGTCCCCCATACGCACTCACGTGCACGCACGCATTCACACACGCACGCTACCCCTATGGCATTATGGGAAAAATAAAAGTTATTTCTATTTTCCGTCCCCCGCTGTCTCCAAACTCTGTTAATAAAACGTGCCTTTTTGATAGTAAATCACAAGAGTTCGTATTCTTAGCATCAACGTTCACTTATGCGCCGATGGGTTAATACAGTATCATCGAAGAGTTCAGTATTGTTTGTGTGTGTGTGTGTGTTTTTATTATAGGACAAAGGGAGAGAAATCATCTTTGCATAAAAGACATTTGCTTCTCTTTCAGACACTGTCCTGCAGGAAGCGATGCCCTCAGAGGGAGGAGGAGGAGAAGGGGGCGGGGCTTTGTAAGGAGGATGGATTGTGTGAGTTACAAGCCCCCCCCCCAACCCCAACCCCTGCCCTTGAATTTCCCTTTCCATGCTGCCCCCGAATCCCGTTCTCTCTCTCTCTCTCTCTCTCTCTCTCTCTCTCTCTCTCTCTCTCTCTCTCTCTCTCTCTCTCTCTCTCTCTCTCTCTCTCTCTCTCTCTCTCTCTCTCTCTCTCTCTCTCTCTCTCTCTCGACGTGATTGTTGTCACCGTTTTTTATTGTTTGATTTTATTGTTTGTTGTATTGTCATGTCTTAAAGTCGACTGTGGTTTTCTGTCGGGTCGTACATGTTGTGGAAAGGGAGTTTGGGTCCTCTACGCCGTGCTGGACTTTCCAAGCTCCTCCCTGATTGCTGGGGACACAAATAGGAGATGCATGTGAGAAATGTAAGGTACCAAAACTTTTCAAATTTAGAAACCTGTGAAATCTATAACATCGAGTGCCGCTAGATGACGGTGAATGATACTTCTTCTGTTGTAATTCTAAGTTCTGCTCACTCAGCAGAACCGGAGGAAGCCAATGCTGAACTGTCTTAAACCTGCATTCTCTCTACTGACCAGCAGGGGGTGACTCCTCTGGTTGTATAGAAGTCTATGAGAAAATGTCTCTACTTCTCACTTGATTTATTTCCTCAGTAAACATTGTGAACATGAGTTTATGGTCTCAATCTCTAGTTTCAAGTCTTCTTCAATACAGCATGATGTTCATTTAGTAAATTATGGTCCATTTAGAGTCAAATAGACCATAAAGCATGGTGTGCTTTAGGGCGGGGCTACCTTGTGATTGACAGGTCGCTGCCACTACCAGAGCCGTATACGGCGTCTCTACGTCACTCCTCCGCATTCCAAATATGGTAAATATGGTTAGTGGTTGCGGAAAAACAGTGACGGTGAAATCGGCGAACTCGAGGCTTCAAAACAGTAGCCCACAAACCAATGGGTGACGTCACCATGACTACGTCCACTTCTTATATACGGTCGGTGGATCTGCTCCATCACATTGCATTGTGGGTAGCCACAATATGACACAATGTGTCACATAGATGCCATAAGAAAATAGTCTGCGTCAAGGCAGGGACAGGCAGTGATGTTTGATTAGCTGATTTAGTGAAGGAATATTCTGGTTTCTAACAATTTATTTCCATCATTTTTATTATTCTTATCGTTAAAGTTCCCTTCCTGACATGTTTTAAAGTAAATAAAAGTACTCTGCTATGATTCATATTTTTTTTAACTTGCTGTACTGTATTTATGCTAATGCTAACTCTCGCTCTCTGTATTGTAAGTCAGTAAAGAGTTTCCCTGTCGACATTTGCATATTAGACGGCGATTGGCTTTCCAATTAGTGACATACCAGATCCAGATTGCCCGGGGTGCGTGTGAATCTCAGATTTTTAGTAGACAGACATCTCCCCCTAAGTATAGCAGTGTGAAAACACCTGTCTGATTGTACGCCCACTTGTCCCCCCCCCCCCCCCCCATCCCGTGATATTCAGCAGGATGACTGAAGTGTGTGTGAAAGGAGAGCATGGGTTTCAATGATAAATACCATCGATGAGCTCTTCTTTTAGCTTCGACAGCTCCTTCCTCATCTCATCCAGGATGTCCTGAAAAAAAGAAAAGAAACACAACAAAGTCACCTTTCAATACGAACACAACAAATGTCCCCCCGAGAAGAGACAGACTCTACCTTCCACTCCCCTCGTGCAGTCATGTGACATCGAGGCCCTGTTCGGACCTGGCATTTATGTTCGCAAGTGGACAGCTCAAAGTACGTCAGTTCACATTGGAGGTGCCAGATCTCACTTCCCCACTTCATATGCAAGATTATACATTTGTGCATCATTTCCATTTGCAAAGACCAAATGTGCTGTTGTTTTGAACCGGCAGGGAGTAACATCCTACATATTTTTGAATTTGAGTTCAATTTAAGAACCTAAAATGATAAGTCACTGTCTACCGGCGCTCCCTGAACCTCCGTACCACAAACACCGGGGGCTTCAGAGAGCGAGGGATGAGAGCAGGTTCTGAGATTCACTCTCAGTGGTTTCTGTGATACGAGAAATATTTTCAAAACGCGAATGTGTAAAAATACAAAAAAACAGCCAAAGTGCACAGAGTCCTATCAGCTTGAAGCACACCAAGTGGAAGAAATCAAGACGATACAGACTGGGTCTAGTCCTTGGCGAGGTCCAGGCAAACCGAATCACCCAAGATGTTTGGCGCATTCGTTACGCATCTCTGTGGGCTCTTCAGACGTCATGGAGAAAGCCGGCGAACGAGCATCTACTTCCGCGTACCGCAGAGGACTTCGGTTGACTTGGCGGTCCTCAATGCGTCTCGTGTGCACTCACACCTGTACTTGGAGCAGTCTACTACTACCGATCACCCAGGACACGCATGTTAATGCCGCTAACACGGAGTGACGGACACACTGCCAACTGCCCCCCCCCCCCGTCTTCTCCACGAAGCGGCCAACCCCTCGCAGCCAAGACTCGCTTAATGACAGCCGAACTGACAAGAGAGAGTATTTGTGTGTCATGAAATTTGAGCTGTGCTCTTTTGCCTCCAAATCACAAAGTGAAGGAGGACACAATAGTGACAGCAGGTACAGTAAAGCTGCAGTGGCAGATAGGCAGGGCTCTGAGAGACTCTGGACTTATCTAACAGACTTATAGACTGAGGTCAGGAGGGAAGAGCCGCCTTGTAACTGGACGGGTCACCACACACACACACCCACGCTGTTATAGTAGCGACCGGGCTGCATGATTAACTGGGGGAGAAAAAAAACGACCAATAAGCAGGTCATTAGTAAAACCAGTCGTAAATAAGTTAAAACAAACATTATCCTGGATTAGACTTACATAGAGACCCCATGTCATTCAGTCATTTTAATATATTTTTAAGCGTCCATTATTATCCAGTGTATGCGCACTGACGCAGCATCAAAACAAGAGCTTTCCAGGTGACCTACCTGTTTCAATCTGTCATAGTCAACAGCTTCTGTTGGCACACCGTTGGCACTTAGGGATCCAGTAGGTGTCGGGGTGGATTTAGGTCTGTGAGGAGAGACCAAGGAAAAGCAGACGGGAACGCCGCGACATTATCATCATGTACATAGACGTATATACACATTTTGGACTGCAACTCATTTGCGTCTTGACTGATGGAAACCAACAAAGTGTAGCCGGATAGATGTGACTACACTAATGCAAAGAAATGTGATTTCAACATTTTTTGCTGTAAAAAAAAACTGAAAATCATGATTCATCACACCCGGATGTAGTTGCTGTAGCAACAGATAGCAGAAAACAAAACAAAAAACAGTGGAATTGACTTATTTGTCTTATAGTTTCATATCATTTGAACAACACACACAAAATGCTGCAAATTAGGAACCAAATCCTGGGCATGCACACTGATTTGGGGAAGACATGCGTGTAAACACACAAAAGCAAACACACAAATACAGAGGTCTCCACGAATATGGGACTTATAAAAGAGAGTATCTCAGTCATGGAGGTTAGGCCTCTCTAGTTATTGTGACGGTCCCACGCATCCTCTCCCACATATCAAGCAGCTGTCTGTGTTTTATTTATTTCCAATGCTCCGTAAAGAGACTTTTTTGGTTTTTCTTCAACGAATCTTGCGAAGGCGCCTGAGGAAAAGCGATAAGCCGGCAGTTCAGGAAAGACCCTCGTAAGACGCAGCCCCACTGAGAGAGGTCCACACTCTGCTGCGAGAATTCGTCTGGGTTTTAAAGAGAGGAAGCGAGACAGGAAAGGAGACACGAAAAGAAAAAGGAAATGAGCTCGGCGAAGGGTCATTTGGAGCCGCCACGGGTTGGGGAGCACCGCACGGAAGCTCTGTTTTTGTTTTCCAGTAGAAAGATGACGCAGGGCTCAGTCACGGCTGCACTACTTTACAGTCCATTCAACTTTTACTTTACTCAGACTGGGAACTAATGGAAACACATACTGTTTTTTTCAACAGTCTAACAGCAGTTTGGAGAGATGCCATGAACGAATAAAAAAAACTAAGTTGCTAACAGTTTAGCCTTTTGTTGCTGTTAGCAGAAGCTAAAATATTAGCATCATCTTTTCTTCTCTGACATCTTTTTGATAAGTCTGCCTTCCTTTTTTTGGGGGGGGGGGGGGGGGTAATTTGCAGTGCGGGCAGTTGTTGCCAATGCTGGAATATTCTGCAGAATGGACGCGCACAACCATTTGTGGAACAGCCAATAGGAACGCCTCTCTCTCTCTCTGAAACGACCTGGGATTGGCCAGAGTCTCCCGTCACAAGCTAGATTTTCATAAAGTCAGAAAAACAAGAGCCAAGAGGAGGTGCAGACGTCTCGTTTTCTCTCAGACCTCTGGAATTTAAAATATGCTGAAAAGGTCATAACGGAGTATTCTGAATGGCCCCAGGTCACACACACACACACACACACAGACACAGATGGCGGGGGCCTTATCTGTGAGCGCCTGCTGGATGGGCTCTGGCTCTACAAAGATAATACTGTGCCAAGTCTCCTCTGCACTGGGCGGACACACGTTTTCATGTGTTTGCGCGTACGATAGGGTGGGTGTACAGTATGTGATGCGCTCATTTGGATTTCCCTTATTTGAAGGAAGTGAAAAAAGAAAAAGTGCAGCAGGCAGAGGAGCATGCAAACACACTTCTAGATCTGATATAAAAAGCAATGACTGGTCTTAGAAAACGCCGCGGGTCATGTTGCACCGAATGGCACGTATCAAACAACAAGTAGAGCTTTCGCCCACAGGTTGGTAAGTCTGGAAAAGAACACAACACGGGATCCATTCCAACGCTTTCATCCAAGCATTTGAAAATGAAAGGCCTTTACACAACAAGTCTGTACGTTTTCATCCGTTCTATTTTTTTAAACTATTTTTATCTGCTGACGGAACGCATTAGAAGAATACGGACTTGTTGTACAAAGGCCTTAACCCCTCCCCCCTCTCCAACAACACCACGTCCATCACAGCAAACCTCGATGAAAAAGGAGATTGTTTTAAAGAAAAAAGGGATTCCTCAAACTCTCCCGGGGGCCTTTTCTCTCTACCTGTTGGAGGAATCGGCTCCCATGGGATTTCTCCACGGAGACTGTCGTCTGTGTGAGCAGCAGAGACACTGACTTTACAAAATGGCAGGTTGGTATCTACAGGTGTTTGTGTCCCCGGCCCGATGAGACGGCTGTGGGTCAGGGCTGCTCATCACGCCCACTCAGCTTTATTCTCAAGGCTACTGTGCGCTCAGTTTCACACTTTCGTAGGGCTCTCATCTGAAACCATGCCACTGAACCTTTAGCAGTTCAAATTTCAAAGAATCTTTTAGTGTCTTAAAGTTACAACAAGTAGCTTTTAACAGGTTATGACACAGTCTCAATTAATACGGATGGCTTTGTATGAGCAGGACTACGTGGGGCAGAATGTCCCTGCTGCAGTAAAATGAGGTTTTCTGAAGGGACTCAAAACACTACCGCGTCTGACCACAGGGACCGCCAAACTCAACACAAAATAGAAGTCCCTTGTGGTACCTTTAACTAATGACTATTTGATCTTGAAGTGAAAGTATTATCACTTTTACATTTACTTAGCAACGTCCCATGATCTTTTCTCCACAGACTGTTTCTTTTGAGAAGTTTATGTTAAATGTGAAAATGTTTTTTCCATTCCAGATAAAAAGGCTCGATGTGAACAGCCGAATGTCCCCCAAACCACAATTAAGAATGTCCGTAGAGTGTCCATTGTGGTTCTGATGCATTCTGTCAACGTCCAATGAAATTAGTAGCATTGATAACCGCTTAGCTAAACTTGATGCTACCCAGAATCCTCGTCATTCGCACACAGACACCTCCGCTTTAAGCCGAGTGTCTGACGTACATCCAGTGTGCACACGAAGGCGACGTAAAGCTTTAGTGATGTTAGCCAGCGCTGAACGGCCCCCAGCAGTGCATCATGTTAAAGCTAGCCGACGCTAATGCTTTAATATGGCGGACGTTTAGTAGCCTCACTGCTAGCCATTCACACAAATGTACATTTCTTTTTTCTTTTGTTTTACTTCTGAAGTGTTTTAGGATACACAATGTACTTTAAGTGCAACAATACACAACGAGTATCGAGAAATGGGGGAGGAACCGTACCTTCCGATAACCGGAGATTTGCTACCGTTCATGGTGTTTGTTCTTTCCCACGGCTTCCTGGGCATGTCTGGAGAAAAATGACACCACAACACGGCAGAGATATAAACACCAAACTCCTCTTACCATAAGCCATGAAGTTCAGCTATTCAGTAACGTGGATCGTCATAAAAAACAATAAGAAAAGCAGGTTCACTTCCAGTAACCACTGAGGGGAAATGTAAATAGGCTGAATGCTAACTTGGAGATGCATATTAATCCCTGTGTGGCTGGTGTTTCTCTATCCAGAGTGCTGGCTCCCTCTGACACTCACCTGGTGTGCTACAGGCTGACACTTTAGGGGTCGTGTTGATGTCGCCCTCCTCCTGTAGGGCAGACAGACGGGGTTCAAAGGTCAAACATGAGAACAGGGAGAGTTTCTACACAGACCGGATAATGGGAATCTTTAAAAGGGCAACAAAGCTTCTTTTGAACCAGTAATACTAACACACAGCTAGCTTTTGTTTGTGCTTTCATTTTAAACTTTTTTTTACTTTTTTATTTTAACCAGACATTCAAAATATGCACCCTGAAAATAATAGAAAACCCCTTAGGCGTCTAAGAAGTTTACCAAGTCGAGAATTCAATTAAACCAATGCAACTCGACACTTCCTGCAGATGTTTCACATTAAAAGCCTACGAAGATATGTCCGGTTTCATTGACGTTAGCTTAAAGCTAATGATTAAAAAAGCAGCAGAGGGGAAGTGACTGGAATCACTTAGCGAATGAAAACAGTTCTGTTATAAGAGAGAAATGTTCATTGTCCTGAATGTGTCAAGACATCACCATCAGGGACGTCTGACTAAAATATGATGAAATGCTGCTTTACAAATAAATGCCAACAGGAGTCTGTTTCAGTTCAGGTAAGTATTTCCCATGTTAAGGTATGCAGACGTGGCGATTACAGACTATCACTCACGCGGATACAGCACTGAGGGATCGAAGACTCGTTTCAAGACAGGAATGTAGTGAATGCGGCACACACTGCAAAGCCGGGACACACCGAGAGAACCCGTGTGTGCTGCCACACAGACGAGCTATTGTGCCATCCAGCAGTGAGCGCGGAGTAACGGTATGTGGAACCTGGATCAGAGAAAACGGAGACACGAGAAACACGAGATACTTACTGATCTCTGGTCGGGTTCAGGTGACGAGCTCTTGTCTGCAATTCTCCTCCTGTAACATATGAAGCCCAGATACAGAGAGGTTTCATGTTGAATAATTTTAAAAAATTCCGCATTTGTATCATCGACCACAGCTCGAACCATTTTTTGAGTAAAGCCTCTAGTTCAGATCTGCCTTAACTCCACAGTTCATTTATTTTACTGAAAATACAGTTAAAGGTGCAGAATTCCATGTTCGGAGCATAATATCAGGGATTTAGGGACACGTGGCTCTCAACATGGTGACAGCGTGAGCTACGCAGATGGGCAGAGGAAACGTAGAACTTTGAGTAGCTTTGAGAATGTCGGTAGAAAAGATCAAAACATTTCCTCGTTGTGATTCCGGGTGGGCTCGTGTCCGTGCGACAAGCCCTTGTGGAAAAGTATAACGAGGCTTTAGGAGGTAGATAGCAGCAGTTAAGTTATTACATTATTGTTTTTCTCCTCAACATGAAATGGTGGTTGTCCTTTCTGACATTTGTGTCTTTTGGGTACCTTTTATTATTCTTAACATTTAGCAAATACACCTTGGAATGTAGCGGAAAGAACGATTACACAGAAAATAAAAGTGAGGACAAATGGGATCTAATTGGAAAAAGGCCACAGCTGATCACTTAATTCCAACTACGATAAAGAACCCTTTGAGTTCTGAAAGTGTTGAGATGTATTGACGTTGACGATAATAAGCGACGTGACTCTACCTCCTGGCCAACAGGGCGCTCATCTCTTCCATGAGCCCTCCTCCTCCGGGCAGAGGGCCGTTACCGGATTTGGCCCCCGAGGCCCCTCCTGCCCCCAGCATGGCTGCCGCCAGAGCCACCCCTGCATCGTCACTCTGAAGGGATACAAGCCACATCTCTCGTGAGACACAAACGTTATCGAGTTCTTTACAATCCGATGGATACATGGATCCTGTTTTGAGAACAGTACTAGAACTGAAAACACACCATTGGTCTTTTTAATGTTCATTTAACATCAGAATCCATAAATAATAAAGAAACAACATTTCTTTTGGTCCAATTTCTAGTTGATTTCTGTATTTTGACGTATTGCACACATGCAGTGTGAACCTCCTCTGAGTCTGAGATGAGACGTGACAGATGATGACTGCATGTGTGTGTGTGTGTGTGTGATCATGTGTGAACGTGGTGTGTGTGCATGACTGTTTTCATGACAGTGATTCAGTGTAATTATGTATGAAGATAATGTGTGTGTGAAAATGGTGTTTCTGTCGAGTCACTGGAAATAAAGAAAAAATGAAATCCTATGTGTGCACGTGTAGCTAATCACCTTAATAATGTGCTGTGACATGTATGTGACAGACATGTAGAGCTGTGCGAGTGTGGTTTGCCGTCGATCAAAACAACCAATCAGGCGCTCACCCTTGGCACTTTGCGCAGCTTGGCCCCAGCCAGGGCAGCGGCCAGGCCCGCGAAGGGTCGGTCCTCGGTGGGGGAGAACAGTCCGGCGGGAAGCGGGGGCGCCGGGGGAGGGAGCGGCACTCCGGGGGGAGGAGGCGGACCTGGTGGAGGAGGGGTCCCGCCTGGAGTCAGCGCGGGGGGGAGCGGGGGAGGCGGGGGCGGGGGAGGGTGGCCGGTCGACGGGGTGACGGCCGGGGAGGTCACAGTGGAGCCGGGTGGCAGGGGCGGAGGCGGGGGAGGGGCGAGGGCAATCGACCCCAGGGTCTGCGCCACGTCTGTCGGGGGTGGGGAGGGCGATGGGCGAAGACACAGGGATGGAGAAATTTAATTCAAACTGTCACTTTATTAGGAAAGCATAACATTTTGGACCATAACAAAATCATTTCATTATCTGTCCTAAAGTTAGTTAGTTACCCCCAAAACATAAATGCATATTTTCCCGCTATCATCTAGATGGTTTTGGCGTGAGCTGCCCAGCCGTGCTCTCTCCCAAATAATCATGACCCGGTCACTCAAGATGATCCACAGACCTTTGAAAGAAAATAGTTCCGACATGAAACTGATCCCGACAAGGTCTGTGGATTATATCGAGTGACCGGTTCACGATTGATTTTGCGAGGAACCATCCCTTTAAATCTGACACAAGGTCTGCCAGCTCTCTGTAGAGAGAATATTTATTTAGAATGGATTAGGATTGATCCGTGACTAGCTCGCTAACTTTCCATTTACAGCATACATTCATGTTCACTTTTGGAAAGTGAGGCATGTTTTGGTATTTTCTGTGTCCACCTGTCAAGTTATCTTTTGACAAACATGTTGTCTTCTGTACACTAATATTACTGTAATACTGCAGTAATTGCTGAAATGAAATTGAAAAAGAGGAGCAGCGTCAAACAACAGGTTACATCATCAGTGAATCTGTCGTGCAAGAATGGTGGATGTGATTTTGTTTAAACATGGAACACACACATTAACATGACGTCATGCCACATGGTTTCTAATCAACATGCAGCATTAGCAACAAGTAGTGACAGGGTTTATAGTTCAAACAGGGCCGGCAAAAGTGTTGTGGTTATTGTATTAAAAGTTAATAACAATAAATATCAGTACATTAACCTGGAAGGTAAACAGTCCAATAAGACAATGGACAAAGCGACCAACGTTGAGCATTGAAGGTATGGAACACACTCTCTGGTGCAGTGACACACACACACACACACACACACACACACACACACACACACACACACACACACAAAGACAGATAACGGAGGATTCATAGATGATAGCGTTTATAATCCGATACATATGAGCTGTGTCCCATTGTAATTATGATACAGAATAACAATGACGTTGCATCACAGACCCATATCCATGATCAATGATCTATGATGGAATGTGAACATGCTGAGCTGGGATCAATATCAAATCAGTTTGATGATCTCAGAGGTCAAAGGTCATTAGAAGGCCTCCCGAGGCTAATGAGACAGATGCAAATAAAGGTCAATGGAGAACTAGTTTGTCTGTGTATAAATGAGACTGAACCTGGAACGACTGAGCGTAAATCATTTTCATGTATACTGTATATTAATTCAGACATGACGAACATCTAAGTCACGTGACTGATCAGCTGTTTCCTGCCGTCAGCGTCTTCTTGGATATTGCCGTAATGCTGCGTTCACACCAAACGCGAAGCAAATTTATCGCGTTGCTTTACTCGCGGGATAATTTCTTCATTTGCTCGACCCGCCGAAGAGGAGGAGTGGCTTATCTCCATGGAAACCTCTATCAACTAAGCCATTTATTTCTGCCATCAACCATGGAAGAAATGACCACTATTGCTGCTTTGTACTTGCTGTGGAAGTCCCAGATATCCCGGGAAACTAAGCGGCGTCTTGTCTGGGTTCATAACGTTATCGGGAGGCGCTCGGTCAATTCCATCGCGCTGTATTCACTATAACTAGCAAGCTACACGTCGGCTGTTTACGACAGCTGTATCAAACAAAAATAAACAGACTTACTACATAATGATTCAGATTTCTAAAAAGTCTAAATTAATGTTTTGTTAGTTCTCTCCTCAAGACGACTGGAAAATAACTTTTAAAATACTTGTTTTCTCAATGGAGCTCGGATCGATCGGTGCTAGGCTAAGCTAACATTGTAGCAGCTCCATCAACACTCAAAATAACGTCCTCTAGTTGTTGTTTGTCTTGTTTGTACCATATGGTTTTAACATATACATTTAAACACATGGTTTCTCTACTAATATGAGGGTGCCGCTTCCGGCTACAGTATTATTCTCCTGATTCAACAACGGCAGGACGTCAGTGATGAGTAGAATCTGATCTTCGCGCCGCATTTGGTGTGAACACAGCACAACGTGGGAATGCTCGTCTCCGTCTGCCGACAATACGAAACACGGTCAATGAAGGAACGATTGAAAGTTGCCCAATTGAAAGAAATTCCTGAAAACTTCTCTTCATTTCTCCATCGTGCGTGGGTTAAGCTTGGTTTAAGGTTTGGCGCGTGTGATCAGAGCTTTTCAGACGTCACTGTCACAAGAAGCTCTCTGAGAAAAGCAACATAAACACGCTGAAGGGTTTTTAAAAGCTTTAGAAACAGGAGGTCTTAAATCTACATTTCAGTACATATGTTGCCAGCCAAATCAAATTGTTTACAGGATATTTGTTTCTTTATAATGCATTTAATACTTGACTTCTTTCTTTACAGAGCTTGTACAAAGGCAATCAAGTAGTCTGTAAATATGAGATACGAGTTTATACCAAAATGTCCTCCTCGGCATAGTGGAGGCCGGTTTATGGCGTCTCATTTCTTTCTGTTTTTGTGACTTTTGAGATTTAAATTTGCTTTGACAATTAAAAGGAACACGGCCAATGATCCACAAGTGTCTCGTTCAAAAGGCAGCACCTGTTGTGACTTCTAAAGGCATGGGGGGGAGGGGGGGGGGGGGCTTCCAATAAGTTTGACTGACTGCACACTGACAATAGAATGGCAAAATGATACGATAAACACAGAGAGGAGAAAAAGTGCAGATCTATGGTTGAGCAATGGAATGGCAAAAATAAGAACACATCGACCAGGAGAAGAAAAGAGCAGCGGTTACATACAGTCAGCGATCTGTAGTAACGATCGATCGTTATCAAAGAGACAGACATGCCATGCTGAAAGAGACATATGTCATATCCAGCGAACAGTCAGCTACATGCATTTTATGAGACTGGACAGAGAAATGAGCGACAGCGACTTCTACACCAGGAGATCCCACAACCAGAAATCTGGAGGTTACAGCAGCCAGCACCAGCACTTTCCTCCCCTGATATCTGCCTGCATTATGGGACTCACTTGGCCAGCTCAGTACCAAGGTCACGGACTCAACAGTGTCCAGTAGCCCCGCTGTTAGTGTGTGAGTCAGACAGCATGTGAGAGACGAGGGGGAGAGAGAGAGACAGAGAGAGAGACAAGAGTCTGGACTGGACTGCAGGCCTTACCCTGGGGCTGGGGTTGACAGGAGGAGCCCCCCTGAGGCAGGTGGGCCTCTGGGCCTGTGGCTGTGTCCGGCTCCCCCGGCCCCGACAGGCCCAGGCTCACAGGGAGGGAGAGGTGCTCGGCAGAGGCTGCAGCGGCGGCGGCAGGGGTTGCTGTGGAGGGAGAGGGCACACCAGGAGCCTGGGATGAGGAGGGGGGAGACGAGACGAAGAAGGAAGACGGAGGGGGGGCCGCGGGGGAGGGGAGAGGGGGCGGGGTGGGTGGGGGAGGCGGGGTGGGACAAGCGACGCCGATGGGGGTGTGGCCGTGCTGGATGGTCACGGGCGACGGCGCAGGGAACATGGGCGGGCCATTGGGGGCCGGGGAGGGCGGCTTCTGGGTGAGCGGCGAGGGCGCAGCAATGGGGACGAGCGGCCGCGGGCCCGCGGCCTTCCCCGGGGGGCTGCTTATCATGACGGGCGGAGAGGGCGGCAGGGGCGTGAAGTTGCACGCTGACCACACCACGGACTTGGCTGGTGGAGGCGGGGCGGGAGCCGGGGCTTGGGGGAAGGCCTGCTGCCGCCTCGGGACGGTGGCGTAGTGGGGCAGGACCGGGTGGAAGGCGGAGCCGAGCGAGGTGGCGAATCGGGAGGCCGAGTGCCTCAGAGGCGGGGTCGGCGGAGTGGCGGAAGAGGGCGACGGCGTCCCGGGTGCCAGGTAGGCGGGCGCGGATAGGGGTGCGGCCGGCGAGGACGTCCCGCTGTACTCCTGACTGTACAGGGTGCTTTCAAAGGCTAAATGTATACGCCACGCAAACGGACAACCCAAGGTCAAGGACAAAGACAGGACAGGAGGGGAAGGAGTGACGGAAGGAAGGAAAGAAGGAAGCAGCCGTCATGCACACAGGAGGGAAAGACAGCAGGTCAGGACAGAGAGAAGGAAGGAGGGAGGGAAGAAAAAAAGAGAAGGGGGCAGATGAAGCAGGAAAAAACCAGCACAGAGCTACACCAAAGTTTTACTCCAGGTTGTGTGTACTTTCTTGGCCTGAGGTGACGCTACTGTGTTAGTGGACAGGTGTTAGCGCCGTGGACACAGCCAGAGACACAGCCAGAGACACAAAGCCCTCCATGTCTTCTTCATGAGAGAAGAGGGGGGAGACAAACAGACTGATGGGCAGGAGGTCACCATGTAGCACACACACACACCCATAGAACAGTAACGCAGGAGATGCAACTCATCACCGATGTCATCAAGCCAAGTCATATACAGACTCAGTGCTTTGTACACAGAAGGCCCAGCATGCACCAGTTCTTTTAATGCTCATCAAAACAAAGTAAGCCAACAACAAATGTAACAGTTAAAACTCTGGAACCAAAGTCACAAGCAGCATTCAAACAAACACTGGAGAATGTACATATGTCTCTCTGTCTGGTGTCTGTGTCTGGTCTCTGTTTCTTGATCAAGTGTCTCGGTTTCTGGTCCCTTTTTCTCCGTTTCTGGTCTCTGTGTCTCACTGCCTGGTCTCTGTGTCTCACCGCCTGGTCTCTGTGTCTCACCGCCTGGTCTCTGTGTCTCACCGCCTGGTCTCTGTGTCGGTATGTCTCTGTCTCCGTCTCTGTTCCTGGTCTCTGTGAATTCAATAAACAGATGTCTTCCATCCAATCAGATCTTAGTTGACACCCAAACTAGCCTGACTTGTCCTCTCACGCCATCGTCAGGTCAAACCTTGGATTTGTCCAATACTTTGGTTTGTGACCAAAGACTAAAGACGTTCCCATCAGCCTCCGCTGTGCTTTGCCTTTAGCGCTCACTAGCAGATGCTAGCACGCTAACACACTAAGCTCTGATTGAGAAGCTGGTGAACAGTACACCTGCTTAACTTCATCATGTTAGCATACAGTAGCATTTAGCTCGAAGCACTCTACTCAGAACCGCTAGCATGGCTGTAGACTATTATTTTGTTTCAGTGAGGATAGTGTTCTTGTTGCTCTAAACCTTTCTTACCACAGTCTAAAGGGGCTAATCTCCTGTTATTCTGTGTACTGTTTCAGTATACAAAATGAATTTCATACACTGGTCAATTCAGAGATTTTGGGCTACTTTGCTTCCATAACACGTCTTCTCCTTTCTTTCTTCTTTCTGTTCTGTATAAGCACATATTTAGTTCAATAATGTCTTTTTTTGCATAATTTAAACATGACATTTTAGAAAACAAAAATGGTGCTAATGTAAGTTATCAACTAGGGAAGGTTTAATGCTGATGTCTATTAATTTAAATGTTTACACTGTTGACCTGTCGTCGAGGTGCAGCTGATCCGTGTCTTTTCATTTGCACTGAACGTCCTCTTTGTCTCATCTTGTACTGTGGCCAGTGTTGTTGGTGCTGGTTACCAGGGTCAGGTTCTCATGAGTCATCAAGTGATGAATTATTAAAGCTCTGTTTGGTTATGTTGACAGCCTCTTTGTTAGGTTGTTTTATAATCATGCTACACCCATCTCTCTACTTCACAGGTATTAATGGTATTTAATAACTTTATATTCTTCTTTATGGGGTTTTTAGGGTCAGTGGGAAGAAGCTGATGCGATGATTTTGTCCTAAGTCCCTCCTCTCTTTCATTATGTGTCTATCCCAGCTGAGCCCAGCCCTCTCACTAATGAACTAATTACCTTGATTGTGACTAGCGCTTAGCGTAGCCTGGGAGGTATTGTATGGAGCTGCCATATGTTGTGTGTGTGTGTGCGGGGATGGTGTTAAGTTGTAACTGCTCCGTTCATCTTCTGCTCCACTTCCCCTTCCGAGTGATGTCATTCTACACTTTTCTGCAGTCCTTATTCCCGTGACCACATTATACGTATTACTGCATTGGATTAGAACCAAACCATAACACTGACCTAATATTCATTTATTTCTGCACAAACCGTGAGGAATCAGGGTTCCAAACCCATTTGGTTCTGGACCTTTTTATGAAGAAAGGGTGTTTTCAAGGGTTCTTTGTATGATTGAGGGTTACTGTTACTGAGGCTTTGTGTGGTACTTTCAATCATCACAGATGCATGCTTAATCAGACATAACACACAAACCGTCTCTCTCACTTTTACAACACACACACACACAGTAGGAACAGAAGCAGAATTCCCATGAACACCTAACCAGCAGTCACAAGACAGATAACCTGATGGATTTGTAAGACCGCTTGGCTCTCCTCCTCCTCCCACTCCTCTGTGTGACTTCTGTTTCTCCCAGCTGAGCGGAGCAGTCTGACAGCTCATGCTGCATTTACCATTTATTCTCTCTAACTGGAGTCAATGCTCATTCCAGCTTCCACTCCACTGCACACCATTTCTCCCTTACATCTCTTTTTCATGAACCCAGAATTGCCTCTTCATGCTTTACTTCTTCTTATGACCTTTTCCATACTTCTTCATCATTAAATCTCTCTCTCTCTCTCTCTCTCTCTCTCTCTCTCTCTCTCTCTCTCTGTCTGTGTGCTTGTGCTGCTAGCTACCTTCATTGAAAAGAGTTGACAACACTGGACTGAATTACTAATCCATCACTTAAATTCTGAAAAGGAATATGCAGGTAAACTATGTGCACACGGTGAAGCCTTAGATACACACTACTGTGTGTGTGTGTGTGTGTAACACTGAGTAAAGCCGATGTCAAACTGATAAACTCGCCTTTAGTTGAGCGACGTGTCCAGCAGGTCTCCTGTCCCTTCTCACTAACCGTGAACATATTCACTATGCGGAGCCTTACGCTAACAATGCTAAATTGCAAGAACTTCAAAATAAAGTTCAGAATAAGAGTGATCTTGTCAACACAACTGCTGTAAGGTCATAAAAGTGAATCTGTCGATTCCCTGAACTGATCGAGGACGCAGCCACAGAGCGCAGCTATCACAGTTACTGAGACACTTCAAACCAGACGATAGCAGCGAACACTTCACTCACTGACATCAGTGTTACTGTGTCACTCCTTTAAAAGACACACACACAAGCAGTGTAACTAAAGTGTTAAACGTTAGATCGAAAGCTCACATCAAACCCAACAGACTCATAGGTTCAAACAGAGCGTGTGTGTTTTTGTTTGATTTATTTTGTATTGGTTTATTTGGTAGGGACGGTGCACATTAATAAAACATTGTGTGTGTGGGTGGGTGCGTTTGTTCTCTATGTATGTAATTGTGTATGACATGTGAAATAACTCCTCCCTCTTATCCTGGGCCATTTTCACACACACACACACACACACACACGCGCGCACGCACGCACACGCACCCACCCACCCCCACACACACACACACCCTTGGGGGTCTCACCAGCATTCTCCCTGATGGTGTATTTTTAGCCTCTGAGTAACATCACTGAACTGCGTCTGCCTGTGTATGCATGCGTGTGCTAACGGGCCGAGCGTTGCACACTGAAGCATGCCTCCTTGAAACTAGCTCATTTCCCCTTTTCTATCACATGACCAAAAAGCCCCTGATCCATTACAGCTCCACTTTATAGCCGGCGTGTGTTCCACCTGTGGCTCCGCCTCCTCTCTGCTGCTGGACTGTAGGCGTACATTGGACTGGAAATGTTTTACACAGCTTTTTGTTAAGTCCACTGGGAGGAGGACAATTGTTCATAAACTGGAGATTTTTAGGACGGACTTGCAATCGTAGTTGCCCGTTCCCATTTCACATAGCATTAGCATCTTCATTAGACTTTTTTGGACGTGTGTGAAGTGTTAGAAGTTATGTGTGCGTTTGTGTAACTGGTGTAAGGCCTGGCGGCGGTGTTTGTTCATGCCCCCCCCCCCCCCCCCTCTGCCCCAGTGTCTTAGCAATCTGTTCATAGCGCCTGTGGGCACTGTAGCTTAGCGCTAACACAGGAAGCTAACAATTCTAGCACTGACTAGGAAATGCAAAATAGACAGAGAGCTGCTATCCACCTCCGAATGCGTCGAGTCCTACTGCCAGAGGACTTTGTGCACTGCTCTCTTTATAGCACATTCAAAAGTTTCACTTCCTTATGTGAGATGAAACAATTACAGCTTCAGTGTTGACAGCCATGCTAGCGTCACTGAACAAACGCATCCTGAATATGGCACTGAGCAAGTAGCGACAAGCGGTGATTGGCTACCACTAGAATGGTTTGACAAAGCAAACCAAATCTACCCTCTAAGGGACAATAAAGATGAACTGAAAGGAAGGACTAAACTAAAACCAAGGACTATTAAGAAGGCAACCCAACATGCATGTTAAAGTTCAACTCACTGTGTCCCAACTCCATACTACGTTCTATACACAACAGCTTTTGGGTTTGTAGTGTGTTCACTGTTCACACTGGAGAGGCAGAATGGATCCTGCGTCCTGAAAATCCTTTGATTTTTGAGTGTGTTGATGATGCACACTATTCTCCCACAATGCAATGCACAAAGGGAATGGAAAAGCTGCATCCTTCGAAAAAAAACCTGTTAATTGGAGAAATTGAATCAGTCGTCTCAGGTTGAAGTTTGACTGACAAGAGTGTGTTTTATCATTTGAATGCTAACCGCTAACAGTATACTAAGACTGACACATGCTAATTCATGTAACTAATTTATAGTAGAGTGTGTAATGTACACAGTTGGGATGCAGTATGGAATTGGGACACACTGCTCATGCACGTTGAGCATCACAGAGTCTACATTTCCAACGCTCCTCTGAAGACAACCTGTTTTGATGTAAGGTTCAGCAGCAAAAAGAATGTTATACATCACATAATATAAATCTGAAAGAAATGCACACACATTATTGGCCTTGGAAAACTCAACGAGTGTATGAGCAGGAAACCAAAGGGCATCACTCACCGGCGTTGGAGATGCGTCTTCCTCTCTCCCAGTCCTGCTGCTCTCTGTCCAACTGCTCCTGCTGCTCCCTCTCTGCCTTCTCCCTCTCCATCAGCTCACGCTCGCTGCGCTCCTGCTGCTCCAGGCGCTCCCGCTCCGCCTGCGCCTCCCGCTCTGCCTGTGCCTCCCTCTCCAGACGCTCCCGTTCCTGGTGCTCGCGCTCCTGTCGCTCCAGCGTCTCGCGCTCCAGGCGCTCGCGCTCTTGACGCTCCCTCTCCTGATGCTCCCTCTCCTGATGCTCCCTCTCCTGATGCTCCCGTTCCAGCTCCTTCTGCCTCTGCAGCTCCTGGAGCTGCCTGGGGGAGGAGAGGAGAGGTAACAAGAGGAGAGAGGAGAGAGGAGAGGAAACAAGAGGGGAGAGGAAAGGAAACAAGAGGGGAGAGGAAAGGAAACAAGAGGGGAGAGGAAGGGAAACAAGGGGGGAGAAGAGAGAGGAAACAAGAGTGGAGAGGAAAGGAAACAAGAGGGGAGAGGAGAGGAACAAGAGGGGAGAAGACAGGAACAAGAGGGGAGAGGAGAGAGGAGAGAGGAAACAAGAGGAGAGAGGAGAGGAAACAAGAGGAGAGAGGAAAGGAAACAAGAGGGGAGAGGAAAGGAAACAAGGGGGGAGAGGAAAGGAAACAAGGGGGGAGAGGAAAGGAAACAAGGGGGGAGAAGAGAGAGGAAACAAGAGGGGAGAGGAAAGGAAACAAGAGGGGAGAAGACAGGAACAAGAGGGGAGAAGACAGGAACAAGAGGGGAGAGGAGAGAGGAAACAAGAGGGGAGAGGCAAGGAAACAAGAGGGGAGAAGACAGGAACAAGAGGGGAGAAGGCAGGAACAAGAGGGGAGAGGAGAGAGGAAACAAGAGGGGAGAGGCAAGGAAACAGGAGGAGAAGAGAAGAGTGGGAAGAAACAGGGGAGGAGAGGAAATAAAAGGAGAAATGAGAGAAAAGACGAGAGAAGAGGAAACAGTAGAAGAGAGACGAGAAAACAGTAGAGAGGAGAGGAAACAGGAGAGGAGAGGAAACAGTAGAAGAGAGGCGAGAAAACAGTAGAGAGGAGAGGAAACAGTAGAGAGGAGAGGAAACAGGAGAAGAGAGGCGAGAAAACAGTAGAGAGGAGAGGAAACAGTAGAAGAGAGCAGGGGAAACAGTAGAAGAGAGCAGAGGAAGCAGGAGAGGAGAGGAAACAGTAGAAGAGAGACGAGAAAACAGTAGAGAGGAGATGAAGGAAGAGGAAAGGAAACAGGAGAAGAGGAAAGGAAACAGGAGAGGAGAATAGACATTAATGCAACATTCACATGTTAACTGTTTCTATTATCTATTCTGAAATTCCTCAGCATCACTCATCTTAGTCCAGAGTCATCGCTTTTACAACCACCATTGCTTATAAGAAGACGCAGTGAAAGAAGAAAGAGGGCTAGATGAGGACAAAAATATTTCAGTAAAGATGAGCAGAGCGAGTAAAGAGGAGCAAATTAGGAACTGTCTTGACCCCCCCCAGCAATTACCGCTGTCATTATATAAGTTCAAGCTATTTTGGGCACATTGAAACACAGAGTGAGGACAGCCATGTGGCCTAAAGCCTCCCTGGGCTGCACACTGCTGCAGAGAGACAACAGTGTGTCTGACACAAAGTGAAATACAAACCACCACACCCTTTTTATTTCAGTTTTATTTTATGTTAATAATCTTGAAGTATAGCGTGTTCAGAGAGCTTTTTTTTTTTAAAATGGAAGCTGTGGCTGCAGACCCGGGTTGGACCACTAGGGGTCAGCAGAAGGCAGCGGTAGAAGGGCCGGTGAGCGGGGCATGTGAGCAGTGTGCGTTCCCCGTGTGTGGGTATGCATGCCATGTGAAAATGACAAAGTGTGACAGAGAGAGGCAGCCATTTCTGAGATTTGATGAAAGAACTGTAACGATCATCATTGGAGAAACTGTCAAATAAGAACAAGGCATGAATAAGGATCTGCTAACAGAGGTCATAGAGACTATTCCACGGAGAGATGTCAGGAAGGCCGAATGAAGACGTGAGTAGGCCTACAGACGTCTGCATTTCCTTAATTAAGAATTCTAATGAAACAGCAGAATAGTACGAGACACCAAAAACAGCATACATACAGGATGAGTGTTAAAAAAAAAAAGATTAACTTCCTCATCAATTGCACTGGCTGTAAATGACGGACTGTTATGTTCATGAATGACTCGCGCAGGGAGAGAAATGGTGGGAACTGGAGGTACATGCCAACATGCACTTTCCCTCTCTGACACACACACACACACACACACACACACACACACAAACACACCAGGTTCTCTGCGCTCACCCGTCCTGCAGACAGCTGACTGACAGCTAAAAGTCAATCATCAGCATAAACGTTGCTTAACGTAAACATTCCCTCTCCCCTTCGGTCTGCGTTGATGACACACACACACACACACACACACACACACACACACACACACACACACACACAACCCAAACCTCACTACACTAGCGACAGACGCATGTCTCAAGGCAAGTTTGGTGACGTCGTGGTCGTCGCTGCGCTTTGGGACTGGCTCCCACGGGATCGGGCTGTTGAGCAAACTGAGGGAAGCAGGTGGCTTCACTCGCGGAAATAAACCCAGGAGAGCACGACAGATTTAACCCCTACACTTTGGCGTGGTGTTTTTTTGGAGATTGCTGAGAGTTGGCATTAGTCCGGTGCAAATTGGGTCACGGAGAGAGAGTTGGCACACATCGGGCCGGTTTTCCCTGGCAGGGCGTGAAGTCATTTAGTTGCTTATTGATAGGGCTGGGGAATGAACCTCAATACTTTGAATACCGACCAAAAAAAGTTTAAAAAAAAATTCTAAAGTATCATAAGGACGGCGAAACTGGGTCCTGGTTGCTCCCTGTGTAAATCCCAGACACACTAAAGCCACATCAACGCACTTTTAAACAATGCAAAGACCACAACAAACAGCCAACTAGCACATACGTTCTGTGCATGCACGTCAGGAAATGACTCTCCATGCCAGCAGGTGGCGGTAGTCTGTATTTCTCATTCAGAAAGGGAAACCTGAAGGCCAAAGGCTGTGGATGAAACAAAGACAGCCGGTATGGTAATATGGCTACTTCTAATTGAGAACATGTCTGAAAAACAAGTTGCTAACGACACCGCCGTTGTCATAACCCGGAACCCGCCAGCTGGTTTGTTACACAGAACAATCGGAAACTGTTTGGAAAAGGGGCCGACACTTTCAAAATACTACTCGGCAGGTGATTGAGTGAACCATCTGTCAATCAAACCTTTACCGAAGCCAGTTGGGAGAGGAGGGAGAAAAGCCTTCAGTGCCGTTCTTTGCTCTTCTTCCAATGAAGAAATGCTCTCCAGTTCTGAAGGGAACGATGCTATTGCAGCAGCTACGCTAACCTCTCCAGGAGCCGCCATTGTTGCTCAGAACTAACGGTCTCCTCTCCGTGTTGTCGCTCACACACCTAAGCCACGCCCTCTAGCTTCCAGTAGCTCCTCGCAGGACGCTGGTTGGGTCCGTGCTCTGGCTCGCCGGACACAAACGCATCACTTACGAATGCTACGAATTACAAGGTGGGTTTTCGGTGTGATAAGCGATCAAGCGATTCTCACGTGATCATGTGACATCGCGAGAGTCCGGCTGCCGTGGAAGGTAAATGTTGTCGAGGCCTTGGCCTTCAGGTCGTGGAAGAAGGAAGGTAGAAGCGGAGGCAAAGATGAAGGACAAAGCATAATAAACGGGTGAAATCATGGATACTACGGCGACTCAAGGTGCTTTCCTGAACCTGTGTCGAAAGCTGGAGTTAAATGAAAATAAATATAAATCATACCAAGGACGTTGTGTCCTCAAAGCGTCTACATGCCACTGGAAATACCCACTGGAATACAGCAGTGAAAGGATGTCCACCCTGAAAATGTGAGAACTGATTTTATCCGAAGGACTGTGTAAGAAGTGGGTTGCCTGTTTGTGTTTGCTGGGTTGAGGTGCTCATTGACATCGTCCAAAGGACCCTTGTGTCTCCATTGTTAGACTGAATGTTATTATAATATTTAGTAACCTTAACCTTCCTTCAGATAATGATGGTTCAATCTAAATGTATTCAAAAGTCACATCTTTAGAGTAACTTCAGTAAACATGTTGCTTTTTCAGACAAAAAGCGAAGGAGGTTTTCTTCTTTCTACAAAACGTTTCCTTCTGACTCCACACAGTACCAAGATGGCAGCAAACCAAACTCTAGGGTTCCCCTCAGAGGCACAATGGTCTGAGCTGTCATGATTATGTGAAAGATGTCTCATGTCTATGCCAGGATGTCAATAAATGTGAACACAATGAGGTGATAAATGGAGGAAATCTGAACAAAGAAGATGACTTATCTGCAAAAGTCTGTCACCAAATATGTTACGCCATGGCTTTTTACAATAAGGGACAATTTTCACATTCTCTGTGGCCCACTTTGCCCACCGTCACCCAGTGGAAAGGATCTCACCAGTGCATTTAGCTAACGCGCTGTTTGGCTGCACTACGACTGATCAAAGTGAATGTAAGTAGCACGAGCTTAATTCCCTCAAACCCGCGGAGGTTTCGCTGAGACACGGCTAAAGACAGTTTATCCTGACTAATGAGATGCGAGGGAGAGGTGTGAAGACTCTTTATGTCCGCTACACCTGAATCTTTCTTACTAGAGAGCACTGAAGGATGGAAAGACATCACACACACCGTGGCACCATCCTGACCCCAATATACATGGATGGCTGCTCACACTCACACACACACACACACACACACACACACACACACACACACACACACTCTAACCGTCCCAGTTCTCACGGTGCGTCAGTAGGCCATCGATGTAATTGCAGGAACACAGGAGCCAGCTGGATTTACGGGATGGAAGCGTGCCGGGGTCATGTCTCTGAGGAGCCTGCAGTCTCCTGGCTTATAGAAATGAGTCCCTGTGGGATCTGCACCGTAACTAAACCAGAGCATCTCCATGATTAAATACGGCTCGTGATGTGATGGTGGGACAGTAATCAGCCAGAGCAGAGGGGCTTCCACGTTTCTTATATTTTACTGGTGTTGCTCTTTTCTATGTAAAGATGGGCGAAACCGCCAACAGCCGTCAGCCAAATGCTGGCGGGCGGTAGCTGGTACAGCTGGTGCAGTTTGTCTACCAGCTACGTTGGCAGGTAAGCGCCATCTTTTCTGTTTAAAAAAGCCCATGTGTGATTTGTTAAGCAGTGAGGGGAATTGCTCTGCCATAGCGTCTGGTGGATGAAAAAGGGAGTTAACCAA